TACAAATGCTTTGCAAAATCACCGATATCCAGTCTGAAATAGATCCAATACTACAACTTGTCTAACAATAATTATGTCCGTATGACTACAATTTTGAATAAAAATGATATGTGTTCATACGTGTCTTGATACCAAAACAATTAATATTGTTTCAGTAGATAATCTGTAGCTAATTGTTTTCCTGTGAAATGCCAAGGATGACATGTAAAGTCTACTGTTAAAGGTATAGACCTGCTCTGGCCATGCGATTGCATTGTGAAAGAAACGGTGTGGAATCGATCAAAAAAAGGTTGATCACGTACTTAGCATGTAAGTATTGGTGTGTACTGCAAGGTTCTGGAATCATCAAAATGATAAGATATTTGGCCTAGTCTTAGTAAAGTTACAAAGACTGTACACAGAAAGATGTAGGGACTACGAGATGATCTATTCAGGCCGGATAGATATGATAATTTACCAAATATATAAATTAGTAGGCAGTTTCCTGCCAAAATTTGTATCATCACGTATTAGTCAAAACATATTCTTTCACATGATTGGTAATAAGACCTTCCATTTAAATTTTTGAGAGGGGGCGTTTCCAACACTGGTCTATACCTTTAAGAAAAGTTCTGGAGCACCAAGAATAGGGGTCATGCTCATCTACAGAAATGCCACAAATAACAGACCATAATTGAAATCCTTTTTCTGAAATTGCATTGATTAAATGTGAAATTTATACAGAAACTACAGCTGAAATGAACCCTCAGAGTAATGTTAAGGACGCAATGCAGCCCGTTACCAAATAATTTGACATTCTATCATAATTATAATCAACATCCTGCAAAACATAATAGAAATGAGTTTTATAAATAAACTGAGTCCCAATGGACACAATAATCACTACGAACTGGGTGATCTCGTAAATAATACAATTTTTTTTAAATTACCAATATTCAGGACTTTTTATCATTACTTTTTCATTTGTTATGTTGATGCCAGTTGGTCTAAAATTGTTGTTATTTTCATATTTTATAGTCTACAAAGGACTGTAGTGAGCTTCTAATAAGGCAAATATTGTTATGGCTCTGTAAAACATTATAAAAGACAATCTTTGACCAAGTTTCATTCATTTCAAAGTATTTTATGTGACATATTTCTCATGCAAAAAAAGTTTTTCTCCCAGGAAGCCAGCCCATCCCTCAAAGCCAATTTGACCTTCGACCCATCTTCAATCATCAGGCATATCAAATGGACACATCTCGTCTGATTTCCTGACCTAGCTAGGCGACCCCATGACCTTTCTCATCTTACATTGCATAAAACAAAAGTAAGCTGATCAAATTGAAGAGTGACTCATAAGGGCCCATTTACATTGCATGAAAACCTATTTGAAACAACATTGTTTTTTGAACTACCATTTACAACACCAATAAAAGTTTGTCAGTGTAAGAAATTCTTTTTTTGGGGGGTGCATTTTGTGCAAGCGCTACTTAATGCAGCTTTGCATGCGATAGTACAGAAGCGAGGAAAGTCATGTGAGCAACAACCAGAAATAATTCACCGGTGTTTTGAGAGCGAGCATATACTGCAAAGCCAGCACAGTTTCGGCTGGCATTAATTCACAAAACCACAATCTACAGGTGGGTTTTCGATTTTGTTTTTTTTGGACGTGTTTGTGGGTAGTTGCCTTGCAACTTCCAACAAAACTCTGGAAAGTGTGAAGAAAAAGAAGAAATTCTGACAGTGTAAATGCACCTATAGTGTAGAAACCAATATGTTTTATATAGGTACACAGTCTCATGCAATTGGGTGTTCACAATTGGAGATTTATTGTCACTCTCTGAGCTAAGGCCTTTGCCGAAATTGAAAAAGCTGTTGATTTACTTTGAAGTCAAGAGGAACCTGTTTGCTGTACCGAGGTATGAAGGCTTCTAGTTTGAAGAAAAGTATGTAGAGGTATTGTGGTCGAGTGGATACGTCACCGGACTTTCGATCACAAGGTCCGCGGTTTGAGTCCCGCCACGGCACTAATGTCCTTTGGCTACATTTGCCACTCTCCACCCAGTAGGATGCGAAAGCCAATGTGGTATGCTTAGCAATTTGAGCCTAGTAGCTTTTGTTGGAATGCTTCCCAGGGAGTGGAGAAAGTGCATACATTGTGTGCGGGTAAGCCAGAATCTGATGACCAGGGTAATAATGTAAAGCGTTTAGAAACTCGAACATTCCCGACCTATTAAGTGTTATATATGCAAAATATTATTATAATTATTAAAAGATTGAATTAGAAAACAAACACCAGAACAAACATACTGGCACCAACCTGTTCTTATTTCTTGGACATTTGGTTTGCGAGGTGAAAGTTAAAACTAAAACAAATTCTAAACAATTCTGTCAATCTGTCAACACCGGGATCAAGGGCGCATAATCCCATCACCAGAATGACTACCGGTACATGAATCCATGTCTAGTTGGTAACAAAAGTCTACTTTGGCATTAAAGATTATAAAGTTAAGTTCTGGTCATGCGATTGCATTGTGAAAGAAACGGTCTGAAATCGACCAGAAAAGGTTGATCATCTAGCATATAAGAATTTGTGTGTATTGCAAGGTTCTGGAATCATCAAAATGATAAGAAATTTGGCCAAGTCGAAACACTGTACTCAGAAAGATGTATATGGGACTACATGAACACATGACGTAAAAAACCTACCCCCCCCCCCCCCCCCGAGTTTTACAAGTTACATGACATATTTAGAATATAAAGGCATTTGAAGAGCCATGCTTTTCAGGGAACATGTCTTATCTGATGTTCTTCCACACTTGCATAATAAGAATGATAACGCTCACAAATTATTTTTCACCTCTTCCCAGAACTCAACCTTCTCTTTAAGTATCAAAATTGCAGAGGCAACAAAACTGAAAGTAAATACAGGAGATTAAGATTTTTGGGAGTATTTGATTTGATCGAGCTTCCCAAAAGATATATATATGAACTGGCAAAGTGCTACAGCATGTTGGTCTTCATCAATAAAAGAATTTTACAAATACAATGATTAACTATTGTGTCTCATATGAAAGCAGCTACAAAGTCAAACGGAAGATACAATTTGTGCACATCTGATTTCTCTAAATGTTGAGATATTCCCTTATATCTTATTTTCATGTTAATTTGTTGTTTAATTAAAATTTCCATGTTAATTTTTGTTTAATTTTTCAGCTTGTAATGAAATTAAAATTAACCTGACCTTGGTTATGGTTATCAATTTAAATGTGGTTTTGATTCCTTTATTTCAATCAATTTAACAAAATAAACAATTTTCATGACTGATTTTCTTTTAAAAACATGATTTAAAACATTGAAATAAACATGTATTGCCCTATAATCTATTTATTTTCTTGTCTGGAAATGGATGCAATATAGACATATATCCTGTGAGTCATTGATAGTAAATATAGGCTGCGTTCATGCTTAAATTTTGAAGGCAGAATGAGCGATCTGAAACGCTCATCGTGATCGCAGTTCCACGATGTAGTGTTCATGCTTACTTCTCCAGGCAATTCTCCTTGGGTGGCCTTCAGCTGGATTCGCAAACCTGTGTGCGCATGCTACGTAGACCCACTAGAGGTCAGTGCGTTGACCCCATTTAAACGCGTTTACAAATTGTAAACGCATCTTTTTGTGAAGTTACGATCGGCGATCGTGATCGCCGTTTTTCGGTGATTCTACAAAAGTGAGCATGAACGCAAGCGTGTTTTAAACTAAACGCGTAACAGATGCCTGATTCTGGCCGTCAAAATCAAGCATGAACGCGCCCATAGTCTACAAACTTTCATAGAATGCTATTGCATACCTCAGAAAAAATGCAGCCAGAGGCAGAATTCCTGACTAAACAGATTAAAAAGCAATTAACCTTCTAATAGTATTGTGGGACCTTTGTTGACTATATAGTTGTGCTCTTAATAAGCCCCAGACTCTGTGGCTGATGGCTTTCTAATCAGCAATCAAGACGTAATTGATTATTAAGCAATGTAATTACAAACTTTAGGCCTGTCCTCATCAGCTCGAGATTGCCAAATAGCCCGCTATTTCAGATTTTGGAAAAATTCCCGACGCTCAAGACTTGACCTCGAAACTTGAAACTCGAGCTCGAGAAATTAGCTCAAGATATTTTGCTCAGCGTTCATGCATAGTGCGAGTCTTCGGGCTGGTCGATCAAGACGCGCCGGACACATAACGGGATATTTTGCAAACTAGGCCAAGCTATCTTGGGATGATTATCTCGACCAAATCCCGCTAATTGCAACTTCGGGCTGATGAAGACGCAAATTAACTGGATAATTTTGATCGCGATAGTTCAAATAGCGGGAAATTTGGCAATCTAGAGCTGATGAAAACAGGCCTATTGCCTGGTATGGGCCCGATCTAAATTAAAACCTAAATGGCAATTCCAGAAATCAGCAGAGCTAGAGTATGGCAGTTTAAGCTCTGTCTTGCAGAGTACCGGTGTGACATTTAATTCTGAAATACTTAAAATCAAAAATGCTATCCAGGATATCAGTCGATGGTCGGGGACTGGATGGAGGATTAGGACTCAGGCCTATATGCCGGCTTTAAAGATAAAGTCGAGTTCTGGTCATGCGATTGCATTGTGAAGGAAATGGTGTGGAATCGATCAGAAAAAGTTGATCATCTAGCATAATATTAGAGTGTATTGCAAAGTTCTGGAATCATTAAAATGATAAGACATTTACAAGCACTAGCTGTACACAGAAAGATGTATATGGGACTTCAGGAACATGTGACATAAAAATCTGCCCCTATTTTTATGATGGTACATGCCATTTTTTTAATATTAAGGCATTTGAAGAGCCATGCTTTTTAGGGAACATTTTTTTATCTGATGTTCTTTCACACTTGCATAATACAATGATAACGCTCACAAATTATTTTCCCCTCTTCCCAGAACTCAACCTTCTCTTTAAAGGGTTAGATCAATCTGCTTTAAGAGAACGTCTCACCTGAAATTGACACATCCCGCCCCAGCTGGCGGGGCAAGCCATTGAGCCGAGATAGAAGTTTTACTGGAAGAGAAGGTGTGGGTCAGAGCACGACTGCATGTCCTCGAAAAACGTACCTTTAATCTGTCCGTGATCTGATAAAAGTGATACAAACATATGAAGAAATGAATATTCGGGTGTGTTCAAGCAATTTTTTGAAGCTAGTATCACAAACATGAAGCACAAACATGAATCACAAATTCAAATGAAACAAAGTTGTTACGAACGACGAGAAATCGCATGAAATTGCTTGAACGCAACCGTGTTTTAATAGTAAACGTCTTTGAAAACACATTTCAAGGCATAAAAAGTGTTGCTAAAACATGTTCACACAGACCTTCTAGAATTGAGCTCAAGTGCAATCTCAATACCCCTTCTACATCCTAAAGAAATTATGGTCGGATTTATAGTTTAAATGTCATAGTAATGTTCACACATTTCATTAGGAGACGGACAAGGCTCATGAAATTATTTCGTAAGGGTGATTTTTTAGATTGTGGGATAAGAGTGATTGCACGCGTCTAATATTGGACCTCTGACCGTGTCACTCTTAGTTTGAGGCCATTAGTTGCAGGTTCTTCTTTTTTCCAACCAGCTTTTTACCTTTCGTAGTTTCATGTGCGTAAAAACCCTCATGGTTCCATCAGTGGGCAATTGGGCACTTTAGATTTTATGCAATTCTTTGTAACAAAAAAGGGCTGTTTAATACAATTGTGAAAGTTTCTTTTTAACATCATTGTGTCAAAACTGAGAAAGTGAAAACAGATAAAGTAGCTATATCCCTCTCGCTGCATTACCTATTCAAGATACTTCTATCACATTAGTTTGTGAGAAACTCACCACAAAATCTCCTGCAGCTTCATTTGGAGCGCTGCCCTTGGTTGCAACAAGAAAGAATTCTCTGAAAGACACTGGGGTTGTACTCTGTAGTAGAACTGTAATCAAGGAGGATAGAAAGAAATAAATTTTTAGCACACAAGACTATATAAAATGACATTTCTAGTTACAAAAGACACTTTCTGGACCTGGTAAAGGTATTATGACATTTTTAATTTGTTTTTTGTTTTTTGGGGGGCCGTTGTATTCTTAAAAAACTTTACAGGTGCCTTTGCTAGCTTTTTGTTCTCTTAAGTTTATGAAAACAGGTTTTACTGGTGTGAAGGAATAGAACAGGTCTTATGTAAGATCCTTGAGGGACACCCATACTGCATAAAACTGTCTGCAAGGCTTCAGCTCCTAACAATATATTTTTTCAAACAATATCTTTTAAAATAGAGGTAATATAATTCATAGAAATACATGCCTCCTTCAAATATAGTATGATAATACTATTTTAAGTCTGAGGCCTTTAAGAGCCCTATGTTTATGGGGGATACCACAATATTCTTTAAATAATAAACAGTTTTTTTAGTTTTTAAGTTAAAGATTGTGTAAAGTTTAGTGGACGGTGAAGTTGGCAATAAACCGTCTGACTTGGCCCCACTTCCTCAAAATGAACCAAAAGATGTACCTACAAATCAATATCACTATTTGTACGTTCAGAATCAGTACAAAATTATACAGAAGCAGTGATGAACGTTATGGTAATAATTGTAAGTTCAGTATATATGCATTTCTTCACATATTAGAGAGAGAAACAGAAAAGTTTGGTTAAAGGTAAAGACCAGTTATGGTCATGCGATTGCATTGTGAAAGAAATGTTGTGGAATCGATCAGAAAAGGTTGATCATCTAGCATCTAGCATCTGCAAGGTTTTGGATTCATCAAAATGATAAGAAATTTGGCCCATTTTTCGTAAAGTTACAAGCACTATACACAGAAAGATGTATGTGGGACTACCCTATATCTCTCACAGACCATGAGAGAAACAAATTTACCAAATATATGAATTAGTAGGCGGTTTCCCGGCAAATTTTTTATCATCATGTATTAGTCAAAACATATTCTTTCACATGATTGGTAATGAGAGCTTCCATTTCATTTTTTGAAATTGGGGCGTTTCCAATACTGGTCTTTACCTTTAAAGGCATTGAAATAAAAAGAAATAATCTGAACAAAAAGTACACCACTCACTGGTAGTTCCCTGGTTATTTTAAAAGGGTCAACAAATGGAGGAAATTACCAGAATTGAACAAATAGGACCTATTGACCTTTTACAACAATTTGTGTCAGTTACTTTGTTTCTCTTCCTGAATACCATTTCCTTCCGTTTTAACTTAATCCATCTGTCTGGCTTACAGAGATGAGATCAAATGTCTGTTTAAAAAAAAAATCTATGAATGAAAGTAAAATGTATTTTGTACACAGCTCCTCATTTTTATAATATGTACATGTAATCCATTTAGAGCCAGTAAAGAGTTAACTTGTGTACTTCAACACAGAGTACAAGCCCTTTTGGCCCAAAACAGACATTGTAATACTAAGATTCCAATATCTTGTTTTCAACCACAGCTTTTTAGTAATAATAATAATAATAATAACAGGTATTTTTACAGCGCCGTCTATCTAGATACCGGTAATTCTATTCCGAGGCACATTTATTATTACCCCGGCTTTAGCCTAGCTGCCGTTTATACAGCGCTCTAGCATTTCAAGTTGAGTGTGGCAATTAGGACATTAGTGCAGGGGCAGGACTCGAACCGCAGACCTTGTGATCGACATTCCGGCTACGTATCCACTCTACCACGACACCTCTACTAGGGGGATTCCCCATCTGATAACTTACTACTCCTGTGTATTTCTTTGACTTTAATCATCTTCTTTGGCTTGTAATTATTTTCATTTTCAAATGTTTGTATTTTTTCCCCATGAAAATATATTCAGAGAGATTTTTCAGTCAAGGCTTGCTTCACCATTCTACACAAAGAGATAACCATCAGTGGCACTCTCAATCAGTTACACTGCCAACAATAGGAGAGTTTCACAATGTAGCCAAATTTCATGCATACATGCTTCTGAATGCCCTTGACACACACATATTTCATTCACCAGTTATGATTGCATTCTGACTATTAAAATAGAATTATATGTAACAGGTGATCATGAAATAATTTGTAAAATAGCACTTAACAATAATCTATGCCATAAATTTGATTACATTACGAAAATGGTCTATTGAGATACAATTATTTGTCACAGGTGAATAAAATAATTCACATGAAAGTGCTTCAAAGAGACATATCCATTGAATTTAGTTACATTACAAAACTAGCCAAAAAAGACATATATCGTCGCTGTTTTCACGAAGTGACGGTAGTGAAAAAAAATTGCATTCACTTTGCATTACGAATTTCCTCACTACCGTCACTTCGTGAAAACAAGGACGATATATTGAATTAAGTTACATTAAAAAACTAGCCCCCAAAAGACATATACATTGAATTTAGTTACATTACAAAACTAGCCAAATTTGATCAAGTACTAGACAAGAAATGTCTCCATATTTTTTCTGTAACTACATGTATATCATATCATCGGTGGGGTGACAAAAACACCTTGTATCTCAATTTTTGAGATTTCGATTTTTTTTTGCATAATTTTGTACCTAATGGCCTACAACACCACCTGATAAATCCATGAAACGCCTCCTTCTCGTTTTTTTCACAAATTCCACACAAACACCCTTAAACTAAACCTCATAACTTTAACCCCCTTTAAAACTGCACTGACAAAACCTCGAAACATAAGATACGTAATTCCTTTTCCTCGTAACTCACACACGGCCTAACAGTACCAAAGTTAGTGTATTCAAATCCTCGTAACTTATTCAACCAAATCCTTGTAACTCATTCAGAGTTGAAAGTAAGAACTCGTATCTCAATTTGAATAAAAACTAAAAACTCGTATGTCAATGTACATGTAGATAAACGTAAAAACCTTGTAACTCACTTTCAAATATCAAAACAATTATTTTACTGTATTTCAACAATGACATTAAAAATTGTATAAGTATTCCAGTTTTAAAAAGAAAGGACGGTGTCACAGCACTAAATTTTTTGAGACAGGAAAGTTTTTTTGCTCTCCTGAAAATTCATGATTTTTGAGATACAAGGTTTTGTCACCCCACCGACATAGGATGATTATTATATGTAATATAAATCAATCAAATGTTTCAACCCCAACCATGCATGGTCAAGGTTCATAGTCAAATACAAGTGGAAAAGAAAGAGGCCTATATGCTCCAGAATTTATTGCTCAGACCAATAAACTTCTATCCGATAAAAAGTCAATTTGACTGCGAAGAGACAGACATCTCTATTTCCAGGAAAGTCTCAATGATCAATCATTTTGCCGCCTTTATTTTTGGAGACAGCTGCGTGAAGCCACCTCAAGTACCATGCTAACCTAGATAGTGGCTCTAGGTGAGACACAAATGTCAACTTATGCTGTTGCCGATTTACTAAATGCAGCAGCAGTTTGCTTTTGACAAATAACTTCATAAACACTGCTGCGGAAGAGTTTCAATCAATCATGTTCACGGTGAGAGTGTTTTTTTTCTTCTTGAATATATTTGTAAACATGTGAACATTGTACCTCAATCTGCTTTTGCCTGAGTGCAGAGAGATAGAAAAAGACCTTGCAAGATTTGTATTTATTTTACATCTGCTCTTGCCTGAGTGTAGATAGATTACAAAAACACCTTGCAAGATTAATTTGTCTGTTTGGAACTAGAAGTATGTTAACTCTATGTGATGTGATGAGAGTTTAATGCCCTTCTGTCTCCAAACAGAAGAATTATAAATTTCTTAAACAAGAATTTGTCTGATACCTTTCATTTCTCTGTTCAATGGGAAGAGCATTCCATACATCTGGGCCAGTGTGATGATTGGATTCGAGTTTGAGTTTGAAGTTTATTATCCAAACAAAAGTACATCAATATAACAATCAAATGTGAACGGTTAACATTGAAAGGATAAATGGGACCAGAAAATATCATTAAATGCTTATCGTGTCTGGTACCAATAACACTCAATAGTATCACAGTAATGAATGAGAATGTAATGAATAAATATTAACTATTGACTACATACTTAAGCTACAAGCTTTTCTACATCTAGGGTAAATATGTTCTGTGATTAAATACAAAGCTTTGGTATTTGGTATTTACACTAAATAAAAGATAAAGAATTAAATAACATAATATTTACAAAAAGGCAAGAACCTTGGTTCAAAGTTAAAAACAATTATTCCATTAACATTTGTGATATTAGAGTTCTACGAAAGCAAGACACTGATGCTTTCTTAAGGGATAGAACAGTTTTTGGATTGCACAAGAATTTGTCTGATACCTTTCATTTCTCTCTTGCATTTTCACGCTCAGCATAGCTCAAATCCACTCTATGAAATTTGACCAGGAGACAATACCTTCCACACATAAATAAACTATCGTTATATTTCAACTGAAGAAATTAATCTTCAATGTAAAAATAACAATCAGACTTCAGTGCCTTATATATTATTTTAAAGTTAACAATGAAACAAAAATGATGTTTTGGTTTGGTTTTCATTTCATGCAACCCCACTGATATACACAAACATATGTATGATTTTACCATATCTACTCAACCCTTCGCCTATGGGAACTGGGTGGCCACTGTATTAAGCCTTTGGGAATGAATGAATACAGTAGTCAATGGGGTAATCTAACAGTCTGAAAGATTTGTGCCATCAAAATTTATGCAAGGAGCTAGCATCTGGACATTTGAATTACTAGAAAGGTTTATGTAAATGGTAAATGAAGTAATAAATACAAAACAAAAATCCATGACTAATGTTAAAGGGATCCGGTAACTTTGTCTTATAGATCCTTTCAAAAATCCTTGATTTAGCTCAGGCTGCAATGATAATTATAAACCTTTAGGTCAGTCAGGAACCCCATGACTTTTACAAGCCGATCGCTTGTCTGATTATCAAGATATTTATGATTGAAGATCAAAATCAAATTTTGTGTTTGCCAAACGGTTTTCATAACACTACAGTTTATTGGGGAAAACGAGTATGGTAAAACCGGTCACTCATAGATTTTTACTGTTTTGAGGCACTTCATGATCATTTTCAAGCGCAATTTTTTTAGGGCTTCATTAATATTACACCATATCACAGACAATGATAACACGTAGGGCCATGCATCTCAGATTTAACATTGTTAAACAATGCCTTTAATGAATGATAAACATGACTGAGAGACACATTCAGAGGAAAACTGTTTCCACTTGTGTTATTGAAAAAAACACTTAACAGTCCTTGGCCAGAATAGCTCTGCACTCTTGAAAGATGAGTTATGTGCCCTTTTAGCGCTAAATCCAAGCTGACAGAAGCAACAACATTCAAATGTCTTAAGTATTTTGTATGTTAAGTGGGATGTGAAACAGTAATGCATGATTGTGATGGCAAGTCAAAATGAGTTACTGCTTTAAAGGGACTTGGTAACATTGTTCAGATGAGAGAAAACGGTGCCAAGGTAGTAACTTCAATGCTAGATGTACAATTTAGGACAACTTTGAGTCGAAACAGACCAATATTGATATATATAATACGAAATGGAAAAGGGAGAAGAGACTAGGTTCAAAAGAGTCATATAATTAATGCATGATATAGAAATAGAAATTATAGAGAAAGAAGGAAAAGCGATCCAATTACATTTAGGCAAATATGATTTGTTAAAAGTTATAAATTTGTTGGCCCAAAACAATCCCTCTACTCTTTGATGAAACTTTTTTGAATAATTTTAAGTCAGTTTCTCTAGAAATGAAATAACCTTACCATAACTCAAAATAAGTTTAAAGTTTGAAAAAGTGGGGGGGGGGGGGGGGGGGAGGGGGGGGAGTCACACACAAAACTGTCAGTTAATACCCTTCCTTCTCTTCATCTTCACTATCCTCTGCTATCTATCAAGTTTGAGCCATAATGAAAATGTTTTTTGACAGCAATCTGGAGGCATCTTTGCAACCACTGTAAATTGATAAAAGGTTTCCTGTCTCGATGTTACATTCATGACCATCTTTCCCCATCACCTTTCATTTGATTCATTCATTAGCCCTTCCTGCTTTCCACAAATCATCAACCATTCCATTGCGGGCATGTTCACACTAAAGGCTAGTTCAGGGGGGCGTTTCACAAAACTTGTCATCAGTGGCAAATGACAGTTTTTGTTATAAGCTACTGAAATCCTTGCTTCTGATTGGTCATCAGCAGATTTGTCACTGATTTTTGTCATTTGTCATTGAAAAAAGGCTTTGTGAAACACCCCCCAGATGTGCTGCGGAAAACCACAGATTTTTTTTAAACAATGACCCACGTGTGATACACTTTACATGTCTCTATCTGACAAAACAGAGCTAGGTGACGATGCATAGGGACTTTGATGCACACAGTTGCCTTTCATTTACACGTTTAAAAAAAACCTCTGTCGTTTATCACGTTTATCGCGTGGTAGCTGAACAAACCTTTGCAGATCCCAAAATATTGCAGAAGAGCACATTACTAGAATGTTCTATATCAGAGAGTTGTGTGTTGACTTCGATAAACATGTATCACGTTTCTGAGAACCCTTCTGGGCAAGAACACTGGGCAGAGTAAGACAAAACTTTTCAATCAATTTGCAGTCCGACAAATCAATCATAATGTCTTTATGTGATTGTAACCGAGAAACTTAATGCTGATTATCACAATTGATTGTAGGTTTCATGTTACAATTGCTTAATCTCTGTCAAACATCTGCAGGGCATCCACTTGAATGAATAGCGATCCCTAACATGTTGTCTGAACAACGAAACAACATTTTACATTCAAACTACTTGTCCAAGTTGAGATAAATCTGCAGGAAAGATGTCTCTGGGAACAATAAATTGTAACCTTATGTAATCAAAACTAGACTGGCAAATGTGAACACTGCTATATTTATTTGATGGCTACATGGGAGAGGTGCGTTATTCCCAATGCACTAGTGATACTATTAATTTGCAGGCATAGCCAGAAATATGAAGAGTTCTTTCCGCCTTAACAACAGATATGACTGGATTCCTGGTAAATGCTGTTAAGAGGCAAAGCTTTTTGTGGAGTAACTAGATAAAATGCATGCTTACAGTTAACTACTTCTACTAGGTTTGATTTAGATAGACCTACATGTATGTACATAAATATATTGGATGTATTGTAACACTGCACTTTACATTTTCAACTTAACTTTGCCTGGTATATACAGAATACTGATGCTCATCCGGTATTTTATTCTATACATTTTCATTAACTTCACCCCTACAACGTTGCCATGTATTTTTCCCCACTGCATCCAAGCTTAACCCCCCTCCCATCATCTCTACCCACACCTAACCTACCAGCCTTCCCCCTCTTGTCTGACCCCTAGCTAAACCCTTACTCCTTCACCTAAACCCATATTTTACCCCTCACCAACCCTCCCCCCTCGCCCCACTCACTACATCCTCATCCTCACCCATGTCTCACCCTAGCCAAACCCCTCGTCCGTCCCCCTGTCTAACCCCATGTAAACCCCTCTAGGCGGATGGGCGGGCGTATCAATCATCCATGGCTGAGCTATCACCCAGTAGATACCAGGCGGACAGGAACCCCATTGCACAGACAATTGAGATATAATCCCTTCGACCGTGGAGAGATAGATCCTTTCTTCATCTCACTCTATCCTACCGCTGCCATCCAATCCAGAAGCAAGGGAAGTCCTATAAAACGCCGCTTCTTCCATTGGATACAGGCACACATTGGATACCTCTTAAAGATAAACTTGAGTTCTGGTAAAAAAAAGAAAATTAATTCTCACAGAATCAAACGAAACGAAATAAATCACATGTGCCAAACAATTTTGGAAGAAAATGTATACTGGCTGAGTAATGAGCATAAGAAGACAAGGAAATCAAGGTAGTACCAGCCCCGACACCATGAGTGTTCTCCCATATATAGCTTTCTGTGTAAGTGCTTGTTACTTTACCAAGACTCGGTCAAATTTATTATGATTTTGATGAATCCAGAACCTTGCAGTCCACACCAATACTTACATGCTACATGATCAACTGTTTCTGATCCTTTCCACACCTTTTCTTTCACAATGCAATCGCATTACCAGTACTAAAGTTTATCTTTAATTTGTGGATGCCGGCAAAACGGATGCTGGGTATCTGTGGGAGGCTAAAGAACTGGGGGGTGTTTCACAAAGATCCTAAGTCAAACTTAACTCTAAGTTGGACTTAACAACCATGGGAAGCGGTTAACATCTTTGAAAATAGTTTGTAAAATTAATTTTAAAAGGCATAAAATGTTGATTCAAATCATTCATATTTTCTATTATCAAGGATATTTCATGTTTTTAGATTATACTTAAATTTTTGCTTTTTAATATATTTATTCAAGGCTACGAATGGCTCTTCTTAATGTTTAAGACCAACTTAGAGTTAAGTTTGACTTAGGATCTTTGTGAAACACCCCCTGATATATCAGGATCTCAACATGACACTGACATGGAGATGGGTAACGATGGTATGAAATGGCAAAACAACCACACATACTTTGACATGGTAGGCTGTTTATATGATTATATTCTAGAGTGCTCGATTGTCAGAAAAACTAATAATTTTGAGACACTTTTTGTGATGGTCTGAACTAAAGATACTGTATGAATAATTCATCCGTCAGAATAATTTGATGATTTTTTTTTTCTTCAAAATGCAATTATGATATTATAATTTTCAGTTGAAAATTTTCCCTTCTAATTTCACTATCCCCTTTAAAAATGTATGGAAATGTTCATCATTTGTATGAATAATTTTGTTTATTGAAACCCAGTGGACTGATTCTATATATGCAATAATAAGAGAAAAAATTTGTTTGTAATTAACAATTTTTTGACATAACTTTCAAACGTACCGGTATACTTTGTCATATTCAGGTACCTAGACTCTAATATACAACTGATTTCCTTTTCGTCATGTAAGGATTGTCGTCACTGAGTTTTCATAATTGAAACAAAAGGAGAGGGAGAGAGGAGGGAAGGTAAAACGAAAAGAAACAGAGAGAGAGAGAGAGAGAGGGAGAGAGAGATAGAGAGAGAGAGAGGACACAGATAGTGCACAAAAAGGGGAGGGAAAGAGATAGAGACAAAATAGATTGAGAAAAACGCAAGCATAAACATACACAATAAATGGATCAGGAAGAAGAAAAAAGAGAGAAAAAAAGTGAAAGAAAGAAGGAAGAGGAAGGAAGGAAAGGAGCAAGGAGAGTGACAGGATAGTGAAAGAAAAAAGGAAGAGAAAGAGCAAGAAGGAGATGGAATGAAAAAACAAAGAGTTACAAAAAGAGTAAAGGAAGGACAGTGAAAGAAAGAAGAAGAAAGAGAGATAGGAGAGGGAGGGAGAGAAAGAAGGAAAAGAGGGAGCAAAAAAAAAGTGAGAAGAGAAAGAAAAAAGGAGATTGAAAGGAGGAGAGAAAGAAGGAAGAAGAGTGTGAGAGAAAGGAGAGTGAAAAAAGAATAACAAGGCGAGAACATGAGGAAGAGAGGGAGCAAGAGAAGGGAGGAAAATGAGAGAAAGAAGGAAGAAGAGGGAGAGAATGAAGGAACAAGATGGAGATATCATTTATCTCATTAATGAAATTGGTCAGACTGATACACGGTTTAGAGAGACAAGATGGTATCATTGAGATTGAACCACATTTAATTGGAAAAGGTATACCGATATCATAAACTTTCCATAAACCATGCTCCAGGCAATAAAGAATTGAGATGGGTCGGAACGCTAGGTTGCTACCTTCTGAATAAACATGTAGGATGAAGGCTCTATAATGAAAACCAGAACCAGATGATTGGAGAGACATTTTTTAATAATCTGATCTTTTTCTAAAATCCATTTATAGCAGCAAATCTATAGTTTGTATATAGATACCTCGCATTTGTGGGTGATGTTCAAGTGTTATTTAAATTTCAAGGAAAAAAGCAGGGATAATCTTCATGAAAACTACTAACCATATTGATTGACAAATGAAAAAACCTTTTAATAAAAATAAAGTATCCTCATAAGAATATTAAATCGCATTTCAATTACGAGGATATAATTTTCTTTGAAATGCTCCTGATGAAAGAAAATTAGAGTGATCTAGTAACCTCAAATAATAAGCTGTGTATAGGTACAGTGTATAATATCAACCGGAAAAACCCTTTACCTGACTTTCTATCGGTAAATGATTCAGGACCTTGAAGACAAGAGAGGAGAGAATAAAACCCTGTATATAGGGCTTGCATGGCAGTATATACGAAGAAATAATTGAACTTCCCAATTCGACTACAGTATAACAACATGGAAACTCTTTCATCAAGAGCAAAGCGTGTTTTGGTGATTGCTACATTTTTCATTAATATTGCTTTCAGAGAGAGATTCAGTGTTCAAAGATACAAAGAAGCATTACCTCATATCCGTTTTAAATAAAAAGATTCTGGCTCATATGATGTGTGGAAACAAAAGAGTGTTAATTGATTTACTTAAAATTGATTTAGTTAAAAGCAATGTGTGGCTCTTTCCTCTGAACAGATGATACATCTCCTTAAGATATGAACCTATAGGAGTAATTTATTTCACAAAATGTGTGATATACCGGTTTATGATTCATTTTTACATCAAAGGCTGTTAAAGAACTGAAGGGCGTCGCCTCTAAAGAATATTATTATTGCCCTTCTGGCTCTGACGATGCCTATCTTCTAAAGATGTGAACAGCTAAGATCCATTTCTCCAACAGAGTATGTGATACAGTCTGTTGAGGAACAGAAGGGCCTTGGCTCTAAAGAATGTATATATATTAAAGCCCAACTGTACTACTTATAGCTACTTGCGCCCTATATAGCAAACAATTCCTAATCAGTGCCTGTTGGTTCCCTAATGGTCCCCTTTTTCTCATGTTCATTGAGAGCTGATTTGATGAAATAACCACCTGTCAGTGACCTTGCAAGTTTGTCTAATCACCCCTGCCCAAAATAGTACAGACAGGCTTTAAAGCCTTCGTGGCTCTGGAAGAGAACGAAACAGGAAGGAGTGAGGAAGGAGTGAGAAAGGAGGGAGAAAGAAGAGGAAAGAGGGAGAAAGAAGAGGAAAGAGGGAGAAAGGTGAAGAAACAAGAGAGAGCAAGAAAGGGGAGGAAGGGGGAGAAAGAGGAAGAAGGGGGAAAGAGGAAGAAGGAGAGGGAGAAAGAAGAAGAGAGAAAAGGAAGAAAAGGGGATAAAAGAGAATGAAAAATGAAGAAAGAGGAAGAAAGAGGAAGAAAGAGGAAGATAGAGGAAGATAGAGGAAGATAGAGGAAGAAGAGAATGAAAGAGGAAGAAAGAGGAAGAAAGAGGAAGATAGAGGAAGATAGAGGAAGAAAGAGGAAGAAAGAAAAGAAAGAGGAAGAAAGAGGAAGATAGAGGAAGATAGAGGAAGATAGAGGAAGAAAGAGGAAGATAGAGGAAGAAAGAGGAAGAAAGAGGAAGAAAGAGGAAGAAAGAAAAGAAAGAGGAAGAAAGAGGAAGATAGAGGAAGATAGAGGAAGAAAGAGGAAGATAGAGGAAGAAAGAGAATGAAAGAGGAAGAAAGAGGAAGATAGAGGAAGAAAGAAGATAGAGGAAGATAGAGGAAGAAAGGAAGAAAGAGGAAGAAAGAGGATGAAAATGAAGAAAGAGGAAGAAAGAGAAAGAAAGAGGAATAAAGAGGAAGAAAGAGGAAGAAAGAGGAAAAAAGAGGATGAAAATGAAGAAAGAGGAAGAAAGAGGAAGAAAGAGGAAGAAAGAGGAAGAAAGAAGATAGAGGAAGATAGAGGAAGATAGAGGAAGAAAGAGGAAGAAAGAGGAAGAAAGAGGATGAAAATGAAGAAAGAGGAAGAAAGAGAAAGAGGAAGAAAGAGGAAGAAAGAGGAAGAAAGAGGAAGAAAGAGGATGAAAATGAAGAAAGAGGAAGAAAGAGGAAGATAGAGGAAGAAAGAGGAAGAAAGAGGAAGAAAGAGGATGAAAATGAAGAAAGAGGAAGAAAGAGAAAGAAAGAGGAAGAAAGAGGAAGAAAGAGGAAGAAAGAGGAAGAAAGAGGATGAAAATGAAGAAAGAGGAAGAAAGAGGAAGAAAGAGGAAGAAAGAGGAAGATAGAGGAAGAAAGAGTAAGGCGGAGGGTTTGCAGCAACATCCAGGAGGCAAACATACAACCAGTGGTTGCCATGCCAACCAGCCTTTACAGGTGAGCGGGGTAAATATTGATACGCTTTCATCCAAAATGATTTCTGGAGCTGCAAATTTAGGGCTCCCCTGAACATGATTGTTGGGAGCATGTACCTCTTACCATATATTGATCTCATACTAGCCCGGCCCCGCGTAGAACCAACGCGGCGGTGTTAGGGTGCGGCTAGCTTTATCTAATGCATGATTCTGCGTCTTACGAGAAAGAGCAGTCAACAAGTAAGTCCCATCCATTCAAAATGAATGTTGTAGTATTTCTTGAAGAAGAAATATGTCCATATGTTTTAGAAAGCTGTTCCCATGTAAGAGATTGAAACCAAAATTAGCAATGTAAATTTCAGATAAAAGGAATTGTTTGTCATTCTAATTCTAAAGAAGAGGTTAATAATTCATGACAATATTATCCAAATTATATTCAGCATCTTTTATAGTTGTTCAATAGATTTACAACATATGGTATTACAAAGGAAAATCAGACTCTCCAATCCTTATGTAGATGGTTCACAAATAAAAATAAAAATAAAAGACAGGTTAAAATTCCCCTTAAAGGGA